AGCATATCTGGCCATGCTGTGGGATCTGGTGCCTCCCTCTCAACCTGCTTATTTATGGCGGCCCACATATCTTGCGCTGATCAAGGAGCATCCCAGAACAAGAGGATGATGATGCCATCCATCGGCTAGTTTTCATGCAGCAGATACGAGATCCCCACGCACCACAGCCTTGCAAAAATGGCGCCGGCCACCTCCGTGAACCTCCTATCAATGCACAGATCTTCACATGGCAGCACCATGTGCATCCGTTCCGGTTCGAAGCAAACAGCACTTTTGCAATCTCTGCAGGACCCCACGCTAGAACAAGGCTCATGTCTTCGTGTGTACAGATGTGCTATAAGAGTCTGTGCATGTTTGCCCTGCGTTCATGCACAGAGGTAGCCGAATCATCTCCCGCCCACCCCCTTCCATTCCTGGTAACCATTTGCTGTTTCTGTTGCTTCCCCGGCCGCATCCAGGCCCCACAATTTCTGCTATGTTCTGTGTGCCTCGTAACACCATCATTACCTATGCCATTAAAAACCCTGGACTCCCAAACACAAACCACTCCCCAGAGCAGCTCTCGAATCTTAACACAGAGCCCGCAACGCACAACAGCCTATGTTTCGTACGGAAGATCGTACGCATCAATTAATCCGGCACAGCCACACCCTCCTTCGATACAAAATAATGCAGATTACTTTCCCCCTTTTGCTTTTCAGTCAGTCCAGTAAAGCACGGTGGTTCAGAGACGTTAAAAAGCATATATTTGTGATAATATAGCCTGTGTTTGTACCCTCAGAACCTGTCCCAACAAAATTAGCGACCTTCCTCTATGGAGAGACCTCTGTGGTTTCTATAAGAGAGTTCTTTCTCCCCAGAATGAGACACACACACACAATCAGACCAAAGGCCCTTTTACATTCAGCCTAAGCCAGTCGGAAAACAAATGGCCCCAAATTTCCCCCAGGCTCTTTTGGGGGGGGCTTCATACTCCCAATTAAACTGTGTTACCTAGAAGAATCAACTCCTTGTCCATAAATACATATACGGTCTTTAATCTAAAGATACCAACACTGTTATTGCCATAGCAAATAAAGACCCCTTAACTCATCTGTGAAGCTCAAGAAACTACGGTAGTTGTAAGCTGATTTAACGTGGGTGATACGTACTCGTGTGGGACTCCTGCTCCTTTATCCTGAGATTACCCCAAGGCAACCCTGTGAACATCCAATGCCCCGCTCCATGCGCACAGGGAAATGGCATATTTCCTACTTTTTGCCTTCTCAAATGCTTCACACGCACACATCGGTCAGACAACACAACCACAGCCTTAAAGCCTGCCTTCCCTTCTAACCAGCCAATCTGCAAAACCCTATCTTCATCCCAGCTTTAAAGGGTGTTTTTTGCGGGGGGGGGGGGGGAAGGTTGTGGTGGGACCCAGTACTACAAATATCTTAGAAAGGGTTTTATTAAATAAAAGAAGACGTCTCACCACGGGGGGAAGAGAGGAATCTAGGTTATTTTCCTTTTACCGAAGAAAAATGCCGGAAAAGCCTAATCACTTCCTCATAATTCAACTTCTCCGGTTTCGTTGCCACAGTTTTAAATAACATGTTGTTACCCAAACTGAGCTGAGCTTCTAGGAGGCAATCATGTTGTGTGTGTGTGTGTGTGTGTGTGTGTAAAAAACAAAGAGAGAGAGAGAGAAAATAGACCTATGTATGCATATGAATATGCCTTTAAGACTGTTTATTTAAATGTTCCAGCTTCGGGCTTCCTCACTAACCCTCTCTGTCTCTCTCTCTCTCTGCATGCCACTGGAGGCAAGCTGTTCCCTGCCACCAGAGAACATTCGCAGAGGGGAAACTTGCATCAATTAATTAGTGAAATGTTTGCACAGGCAGCTTTCTCTGGATGCAAAACGTACAGCGAAGTTGCTAAGTATTACCCTGGAAGGCAAGGAGGCCTGGGGAGGCGGCGAAGGAACAACCACAGACACCAGGCAGGCATGCAACACTCTTTTAACATCTAGCCTGTTATTCAACACAACAAACACTTCCCGAAACATCTCCACCCACAGTTAACCAATCCATCGCCTGCACCTCCCTCCAAGCGGTTTGGGCAGAGGGGAAGTTTTCTCTTAAGTCATGTCAACACAGCCTCAAGCATCCCACTGGGCAAAAAGCACCCGTCTGCTTCCCACCCCCAGCCCCCCCGCAGGAAGCACATCACAAAAACCACCACCGCTGGTCGCACACTACCTGTGTGCCTGCCCTCTCACTACTACCATTCGCTCTCCTCTTTCCACCAACACCGCTGAGCCACATACGCAGCCAGCTGTCAACACCGTCTAACCTCACGCACGCCCAGCTGTCGCTTCCACAAACCCCCACAAACCTCCACCCTGTTATTACAGCGTTTTGCATGTCATGAGCGATATGCCCGAAACTGCAGAAGCCTTAAGGGGACCAGAGGCCAAGGAGAGAGCAAGCCTCCAGTGCCTTTCCTTGCAGGTGCCTGGGAAAGGGAGGGTCTTTCAGCAAAGGTCTACAGAGCAGCACCCACCGAACGCCCCATAGGCTCTCTCCTTTGCCCAGAAGTTTGGTGAAAACAACCACACAACCCACCAGCCCAGCATTCCTCCACTCGCTCCTACGTTCCTCTCTTTGCAGATGTAAGCTCCACTTCTACAAAACTCCCCACTGCACCGCTCCTCTTGCTCTCAGCAAGGCTGCGGTATTATAAGAGCAAAATGAGAAGCGGACCTTAAGCCTTGGATTTCCTGGGCAAGGGTGGGGAAGAGGGTCATTGAGTATTTTCTTTTCTGCCCTTTCTGCCTTCACATACACACAGAGCTTTTTTTAGGTAAGGAAGAGCCCAAGCAAAACGGGAGAGGAGGTAGTGATAGGGATTCTGCCAGGGCCATAGCTATGGGGCAGCGGGGGGGGGGGGGGGGTCCTAGCTGGATTTTTGCCCCAGGTGAAGCTTTCAGAGGGGCTCCATTGAGGCTCCCAGCCTGTGTGTGTACACAGATGTACATGGGGTGCATGTGTGTGTGTCCCCCAAACTGGAGTCTTTGACCTGGGTGAAATAAAGCCGCTGGATTATGCCATGAAGCAAGGAGGGAGTGTTTCCTCCTCCTCTACCAGAAACTCACCCGTAGGCCTCAGGGACAACCCCCTCCCCTCTTACCGCCTCCACACCGAACTGCAACGCAGGCACAGTGACACTGGCTTACCTTGCAAGGTTGTTGTCAAGAGCGCAAGCAAGGTAACTGCTGGCAAGTCCTACCAACTACTCCATGCCCCCGTACAAAAACACTGCTCTGGCTGATCAAAACACCTGGATGCTTTAATATGGGGAGATTAAAGAGGTTGCAATACTTCTAACAAACCCCTTTCCTTGGGAGTAAAGATGTTTTGCGGGTAACCGGGAAAGGAGCATGGAGTTTTCCAAATGGTAAACAAAAAGCAAGCCCAACGTTGGAGGTGTCTTGGGTTGTTAAACTTGGGGAGAGGATGCCTGGCGTTGCAAAGACACCTGCTCTTTCACCCCTGGGTGGAGAGTTCCGGGCATCAGCTAGGAGCCCCTGCCCACCTAAGAAGTGAAGGAATCTAGGGATGGATGGGGTTGGAGGAGATCTGGGGACTGTTCTCATCTCTTGAACCGGGAGGTGTTTCCGCCTGGGAGGAGGAGGAGGTGGGATCTAAGGATGGAAACAACCTCCCTCCCGCCCCTCCTCCTCCTCTGTTTACCTCAAGTTTGAATTTTATCTGCGCAACATTAGCTGGAATGCGGACATCGCGGGGGGGGGGCCGAGGCGCACGCACGCCACGCCGCCCGCAGGAGGGGCGCCCGCCGAGCCCGGTGCGCCCGGAGCCCCGCGCGGAAGCAACGCCGCCGAGCAGCGCCACCGCCACCATGGAGCGATCGCCTCTTTAACAAAACAAAAATAGGAAAGAGAAATTTTTTAAAGAACAGCCCGGCCTTCGCTCTGCCTTCCTAGCAGAGCCAGGGGGGAAGGGACCGGGCAGTGCCAAGACGAGGTGGCGAAACGAAAACGCAGCGTCTCGGAAACGGACCCAACGCCGAGCGCCATCCTTCCTTGCCCGGGGATGCGCATCTTTGCCTTTTCCTCAATCCTTGCCCGCTCCCCCCAGCAAATCCTCCCTATAAATAAACTCACCTTCGCGATCCAGGCGCGGGTCTCTTTTCTTCCCAAACAAGATGAAAAAAGGAAAGAAGGGGGGTGGAAAGGAAATAATTCCCCCCCCAAGCAAAAATTTCCAAACCCCATCATCTTCCACGCGGACCCCTTTTTTCCCAGCATTGCAGGGGGCTGGACTAGACGATCCTCGGGATCCCTTCCAATCCTACGATGGCCAGGCGCGCGCGCTCTCCGGCCCGGAGCAGGTGCAATTCCCACGCAGGCTGGCGCGCAAAGTTCCTCTCGCTCCGGGCTGGGAAGAAAGCGGGGTTGGCCGGCTCTGCTGCTGCCTTTAACTCGTAGCGACGCCCCTACACCGGGTTCCCAGGGCTGCTGCCGCCGGCGCGCCCGAGAACTTTCTCCGCCTCCCCGTGCGCGCCGGCGGCGCCCCGCGCGCCTCTCTCTCGCCGCCGCCCGGCGCTCGGGCACTGCTTCCCTCGCTACAATGTTGTTTCATTATATCGTGGCCATCATGTGACGCCGAGAGGCCTCGCTATGGAAACTTCGGGGACTCCCACGTGACTCTGCAGCAGCGGCGGCAGCAGCGAGCCAAAAAAAAAAGAAGGAAAAAGCCAAAACACCAACCCAGAAGCCCCGAACCACGCCATCATCTCGACTAACCCCCGCCGACGCAACACGCCGGGCTGTTTGCAACAGACCACCAGCATCACCAAGTTTTGTCCGGAGGGAAACAAGGAACAACAACAACAGAGGGGAGGAAACCACACCGAGATCAGAAACAGGAGAGGCACCAGGAGGAATCCGGCGCAGATGCCTTTCCCAAAAAGCAAGAGAAGAGGTGTACAGTAATGAGCAAGCACATTTGCAAAAGGGGGGGCGCCCCTGGAGAATTGGATGCTAGGGGGTCTCTTTAAGCAGCAGGAATAGCTTCCCCAAAAGTTAACAAGTAAAACGGAATTGATGGGGGAGAATGCATTATTATCCTGTGGAGTAATGCAATAATGATGATGATGATGATGATGATGATGATAATAATAATAACAACAACTGATGGGAAATAGGAGTAAATGGGTTGTTTGTTTTTCACCCAAAACAAAAACCTGTCTGGGTTCCGCTTGCTAGGTATCGGCATCACTCGGTTTGCCACAGGGATTGCACAGGGTCTCAGCACAGGCCCTCTGAGCAACTCAGGGAAAGGTGCTTTCTGGCATAAAGAAAATGCAGCTTTGCTCTTCCGCAGCTGTCTCGGGCCTTTGCAGTGCTGACAGAAGCAGAAACGAGGAAGGAGAAAAACTTGTTTGTGTCGAAAGAAAGGGGGAGAGAAGTTACAGCCTGGAGCAGATGGGACCTGGAAGATGTGCTCCGCAAAACGTCGCTTCCGTAGAACGCATCTCGCAGTCGATAGTTTTGTTTTAATGCAAGCTCAAAAAATGTGTGCCCTCTCTTCTCTGGGCCATCCGGTGCGTGGTTTATAGACCTGAACCAAAACTTGAACTTGGTTTATTCCCATGGTTTAGGAGCATAATCTGGAGGCATCATTTTGGCTGTCTCTGGTTTAGAGACTTCAGACATATGCTTTCAGCATCAACTGATGACTTGTTTGTCTTTGCAAGCCCATATTTAAAACCATGGATTGAACATCGATATCCCCTGTGTGATCGGGTTAAAAGGCCCATCTAGGCCAGCATCCACTTACAGAGGCCAACCGGATGCCTACGGGAAGCCCACATCAAGCATACATTATTTTCGTCCTTGTCTGCTCACACATTAATGCTCACTGGTTGATGCGTCAGCAAGTGATGAGGCCAATCAGTTCGGTTTCAAGCCATATAGGCATGGAGAAACTGTCTTTCAGTCCCAACACAGCCATGGGTTTATTTCATGGATTTGAACCTGTCTCCCAGTCTCAGCCTTGTTTTGATGTAAAATGGGAATCATGATCTACTTCAGAGTGGTAGCATGGGGACTAATTATATGAGCCATCAATTAGATGCTGCCTGTAAGATCATTTAGAACACCTAGGGAAATTCTGCTTGTGGCACCGCACCCCACAGAATATCATAGGGTAGTGACCCCAGAACATTCATTTTCTGCTGTTGCCTCTGTACTATGGATCGCCCTTCCCTTTGCCATAAATGAAGCTGCAACTATTACTTGCTTCAGGTGTCTAGTAAAGGCTTGTTTTTTTGCCTAGGCTTTCCCTGACCCTTAAGATCAAAATGATGTATTTTATGTGTTTGAATCTTCTGGGGGGTTTTTTGTTCACTTTTATCAGTTTTTGTACCATTGCTTTATTATTTTAGGTTGTTGTTTTTAATGGGCATTGGTTTTATATTGCACATAGTATATACTAAAATAGTAAGAGGTTTGGAAATCCTTTTAAATCACCAAACATCTTCTTGTCATAAGCTTAAGGAAATACCTGGTTTTTCAATATAAACAAATAATCAGGACTTCATTATCGAGGTCCCTAGAAAATGTGGACCCATTAATATTTCTGTTAAACTATGTAAACTATGTTATCCCAGTGAAATATTTTGAAGCAGACCTATATTATTTAACTCCCATGCCTTTGAGAAATATTAGCAATCACATTTGGAAACATAACAAAAAAAAAGGGTTTTGTAAGAGTATGGGCAACAGCAAAGTGCCACGTTATCGAGACTTGGGGAAACTATGTCAAAATTACAAACTGTTAAGGGTTACAATAATGCATTGTATCATGCAAAAATATTAATTTGATGATAAGTGTTTACTATGGGCCCATGTGATGTAATCCTAAATTCCTGAGCTGCTGTTTGTTTATTGGATTCTATGAGTTGTCTCATACTGTAAGACTTTTTCTGCTGATCACAGCGATGACAACAACAACGTGTTTCAGTACTAGGTCAATACCTGTCTTATCCAAATTTCTCCATCTCCACAATGTGTTTTAAGTTCCCACAATGAGGTTATTTAGCTAATTAGACTTTTGCGATGAATAGCAAGCTGGAAGGTTCAGTGACGCTTCTGAAACAAAACGTCTCCCTTCCACGTAAAAGGTAAAGGGACCCCTGACCATTAGGTCCAGTCATGGCCGACTCTGGGGTTGCGGCACTCATCTCGCTTTACTGGCCGAGGGAGCTGACATACAGCTTCTGGGTCATGTGGCCAGCAGGACTAAGCCACTTCTGGTGAACCAGAGCAGCGCACGGAAACGCTGTTTACCTTCCCGCCAGAATGGTACCTATTTATCTACTTGCACTTTGACGTGCTTTCGAACTGCTAGGTTGGCAGGAGCAGGGACCGAGCAACAGGAGCTCACCCTGTCGCGGGGATTCGAACCGCCTACCTTCTGATTGGCAAGTCCTGGGCTCTGTAGTTTAACCCACAGCGCCACCCCTTCCACTTAACGTATTGTTATTTCTGAACCCTACTTTTTCCAAGCACCCAGCACATTCTCTCGCACCCACTAAGACATTCCCATTCCCAAATTCTGTGCTGGGGAACTCAGAGATGCAAGAGGAGTAAAAAAATGTGACTCGAAAAACTAAGCTGGCTTGTCATAATTCACTCACAGCAGTACAATCGTTGGAAAAACTAGGCCTGATTCCCTCCCTAGCCTCTTGCCAGTATATGGGGAGTGTCACTTGGATTTCCAGTGCAACTGAAAGGCGTGAGAGAATCTCCGAAGCATCTCACCTGCCCAGAAAGCACTGCCTCATCCCTGAGCCTTGACTGATTAGTAAGGAGAAGACAACTTTCCCCTAGTAGCAAGGATGAAGAGAGAGGGTTGAGGAAAATCTGCGTGCATCTTTCTGAGCGTAGGCATGCCTCAAATTTTCCTCCATATTTTAAAAAGATGCCCCAAGTATCAAAAGCTTGGGAAACACAGCGGACAGAAATCTTGCTTGCCGAAATCTCTGTGCTGCGGAAAGCGTATGGGGCGAGGGTCGGCTGATCTGTGCGGGAGATCAGTCGCGCTGTTGCTGTTCCTACAGTGGTGCTGAAGTTGACTCTGCTCTGCTGAAATAATGTGTTGAAAGGGGAGAGGTGGTCCACTTCCTAAACTGCTTGGTGGAGTCAGAATCTCTCTCTTTCTCCCTCCAGATCTTCAGCTGCTGGGCCGTAAGCAAAGAGGCTGCCATTGTGCAGGCCTCAAAAGCTGCAAGGAAGGCCATTGCAGACATCTCGGATCGCGCTCTCAACTCTACCACGCCAACGTTCTGCTTGCATTGACTTGACCCCATATCTGCTGAGCAAACAAAGAGGCCAAGTGGAACTAGGTCGGGCAATTTCGTGTTGATTCAGCCCATAACCCTAATTGCATCAAGTCACATAACAACACATAAACACAAATAAACCTCATGAAGAGAACCATGCTGAACCCTATCAGCAAGATTCCTCGTTCTGCGCCCCTGTGACAGCAAATAACATCGTTATTTTTCCATTTAAAATGTGTATACATTATGGCAGATGTATTGGCGGTTGGCACTGAGGAAGACTGAGTATGTTATTAGTGGGAGAAATGAGACTATCACATTACATGACTTTTTCATATTTTCATATTTTTGGCAGGCGCGGCTGTAGATCCCTGCCGCTAATAAGATATTCAGTCTTCTTCAATACAAGTCAGTGCTGGACTTTGGACAGTTAGAGGGAAGAACCATTTTTGTCCAATCTCCTTACAGCAAAAGAGTGACCCCAAGTTTGCAGTCCTTTACCCATTTACCTGGGAGTAAGCCTCACTGAATTCAATTGGGCTTGTTTCAGAGTAGGCATATATAGGATTGGACTGTAGGTGCTGTATTTAATCCCTGAATCTTTTCCACAAAAGCACTTAGGATCAGCATTCCCCAACCTGGTGCCCCTCATGGGTTTTGGACTCAAATTCTCATCAGCCCCAGCCAGTATAGCAAATGGTCAGATATTAAGTTGAACAACATCTGGAACATACTAGATTTGGGAAGTGTGTGAGAGCCAGAGATATGTATGGTTTTACCTGATCCAATATGGACTAAAAAGTAGTTGCTTCCCTCAGTCCACTTCCCCTTAAACTGGGACAGGGAATGCATTTTTCCCTGTGATGATTTCTGCTGTGGTGTATGCACCACCTATAAAAAAAAGTATAATTTTCACCCCACCCATTTCAGGAGAATTGTTTTCAATAATTTGCACCAAACTGGCAGCACAAAAGCATATGCATGCCTCAGCAGAAATAAGTCCCACTGAGTTCAATGAGACTAATTCCCAGATAAGTGTGTAATGGTTTGCCACCCCAAACAATTTGGATAAGGTTCCAGCCTAAGCATTACTGACATCCTGGGCCCAGATGAAGAAGACCGATTTCTCCTGCAATCGGGTAGTAAACAGAGAGTTTGCTTTTTACTAGAGTCTGTATCTGTACTTGGTGGGAAACTGTATTCTGTTCATCCGGTTGGAACTTTCAGTGGTTTTCATTGCGGTTGACAGAACATGAGGTGTTGGGTATGCAGCTAGGTGGCCTAGCAGGTGTTCATGGAACCAACTAGTGTGTGGTTCTGTTTTGTCCTCGAAGGGCAATCCTAGAGCATGCATGTGCTGGGCCCGAGAGTAACCCGTGAAACACGGTCCAGGACTGGTCCAGAATCCAAAGGTTCTGCTGGGAGTCAGTCCGACAGGGCCAAGGCAGGACACGAGGCAGGAAACCAGGCAAGGACAGGTACAGGATCTCAGGCAGGATCTAGAATACAGCAATGTTGCTCCCGCAACCTGGGGCAGGGTCCGACAGCCTTTTATCTTTGTCGGGGTAACGGCCGGTCCTGATCCCCTGGCGACTCACCTCCCTGTTTCACCCGAAGGCAAGCACTCCTCCTGCAAGTACTCAGGTCTCTCCTTCTCTCAGACCTTAGTCTCTGCAGCTCGGGAGACGTCGGTGGGTTACTAGACCCAGGGGCTGCCTCAGCCTCCCCTGACCAAACCAGTAGTGGAGCAGATGTAAGTGATGGCCCAGCTGAAGGCAACGAGGTAATCCCCACATCTGGAGCCAGGCTCAGGCCCCTGACTCAGCCCAGCTGGTGCTTGTTGCAGGGGAACCTGTGCAGACTGGGACTCTTCAGGATCAGGCCCCAGACTTGGTTCAGATGATGCCCAAGGCAAAGGATCTGGTGCAGACTGAGTCTCCTCTGGTTCCGAGTCCGAGCCTGAGTCCCAGGCCATCACAGTGCAGACGGCTGGCAGTTCTGCAGAGCATCTATGTTCCCCCTAGCAAAGTTCTTCAAGGCTCCATCTTGTCCCCAGGTAGTGGAGGAACAACCGTGATGGTTAAACTAGAACCACAGAATTGTAGAGTTGGAAGGGAACCCAAGGGTCGGTCATCTAATCCAACCCCCCTACAATGCAGGTATCTCAGCTCAAGCATCCATGGCAGATGGTCACCCAACCTCTGCTTCAAAACCTCCATGGAAGGAGAGTCCACCACCTCCCATGGGATACCATTCCACCATGTCCCATATCTACCTTTCTATCACCATGATGATATTGACAGTTTAATTTTCCTAGCCTAGGACCCTCGTACCTATGGGACAGCCTCTCCTGGTATGCCCCACGGAGGACCTTAAGGTCTGCAGATAATAACACCCTGAAGATCCCAGGCCCCAGGGAGATTAGACTGGCCTCGACCAGAGCCAGGGCCTTTTCGGCCGTGGCCCCAGCCTGGTAGAACGCTCTCTCACAAGAGACCAGGGCCCTGCGGGATTTGACATCTTTCCGCAGGGCCTACAAGACGGAGCTGTTCCGCCTGGCCTTTGGTCGGGGTTTAGTCTGATTCTTTTCTTTCTGTATAAGAACAAGCATTAAAGAGTCCTCCTAGCCCGTTCATGGGTCCTTTATAAGACCAGTGGTAACAGTTCACCCTAGAGAATATTAACCACTCTCAATTTTACCCATGGACTGCCATCTGTCCAGATTTCAATTTGCTCTGAACTAATTTTAAGATGTATTTTAATTAATTGATTGCCTGTTTTTACATTCTTATGCTCTTTGTGTTAGTTTTATGATGTTAGCCGCCCTGAGCCCAGCTCCGGCCGGGGAGGACGGGGTACAAATAAAAAATTATATTATTATTATTATTATTATTATTGAATTCACCGTGTTATGTAATGTAAACATGCTGATACGTTTGGAAAGGCCCACTGGGTCTTGAAACTTGAGGCCCTGCAGTAAGGGAGAATTTCCTATCGTTCTGTGATAGCTGCCTGTTCAGCTTTTCCTTGACAACAAGGGAAAGGGAAGCTGCAAAGTTGCTTATTCATCTTCTCTCTCTGTTCTTTTAAATGGGAGGCTTTTAAAATACCCTTAAGCAAGGTCACGAAAGCAAATTAAGCACAGCCAGGCCAAAGCTGCTTCCCACACCCTCATTCTCAACCCAAAAACCCCCAGTACTAATTTTGCTGCGTCATATCCAGTGGGCAGAGGAGAGAATTACCTGATCACAAGATCTGTGCAGGATTAGAGCGTGGCGGAAGAAATGCCAGCCAGAGAGAAGACAGCCGGCAGGCCAGATGAACTCCGAGGTGCTCCAGGGGTGCTTTTACTGCCGAGAGGACTTCAACAGCGGAGAGAGAGAGAGGAGAGACAACGCTGTGATTTCCAGGCACTCCCTGAGTTTTCCCTAGGATGGTGGGAGATTGGCAGGGAGCAAGGCAACAGCAGCAGCAGCAGCAAATGATTCATAGCCAGGGCTCCAACGGCTGATCTGCACAGCTTTATCTTATCCTCTCAAGCCAAAGCATTTCAGGTTTCAGCCAAGAAGGGAAAGAGGAAAACAAAACAATGCGTCCCTTTAAAAGAAAAAGAAAAAAAGAGAATCTCGTTTTGGATATTTTTTTTCCTTTTGCTCGCAGTGTTTTGGAGGCCCTTGGACGGATTTTTGTCGTTGTTGTTGCTGCTGCTGCCATCCCCTCCTACCTCAGCTGCCAAAAATAAAATAAATAAATAAGAGGGCTTGTTATAAAACCATTTCAGCCCTGCCTTCCGAGCCTATTCAATTGCGTTTCTCTTTCCTCAGTGGCGGTGCAAAAAAAAATAATTACCTGGAAAAGTGTTGAGTCAGAAGCCGGAGAAGAAAAAAAAAGAAATCTGGAAAATTGTGCCCCGAGGGCCTCAAAAGTCATGAATTCAACACAGTGGTCCCGGCCCAAGATATTTTGAGGCCTGAGGTTCTGGGAAATCCAAGTGGTGGCCCCTTCCGCTGGTTAACAAGGGGCCCAGTGTCCACAGCGAACTTCTCCTGTCCCTCATTTAAGTGAATGGGAGTTGCCCTTGTGTGTCTTTAACACAGTGAGATATAGGGAGTCTCTAGCCTTCCTTTTGTTAATGGGGCTCCAACTCCCATCATCCACAACCAGCATGGCTGATGGTCACAGGAGTTGAAGCCCCAACAGCTACTGGAGAGCCATATGTCCTCAAGCCCTGCCTTAAGCTGTTTTTCTACGAGAAGGTGAGAGGTGTGTACAAGGAGGTTTCAGCTACAGGAAATCCTCTTGTAGAGTATAGCGTTAAGCCCATGTCATAACTGTCAACCGTGCCTTATTTGGCGGGAAAGTCCCTTATCCCAGCACTGTGTCCCGCTGCTGTCCCTTATTGATGATGTCCCTTAAATTTCCCGGGTTTCAAAGGAAGCAGCTCCTCTCCCTCCCTCCCTGCCGGCCAGGGAGGAGGGAGGCTCCAAGTGTGTTGCTTGGCTGCTTTGCTCACCCAATAAGGAGTCTGAGAATGACTGGGGGGTGGAGCTTGCATGCCTTGTGCCGATCAAATCGGCCGCGTTGCCTGAGGACTCGCCTTTGCTCAGCGCTTCCCAGCGGAGAGGTGACGGTGGTTTTCCTTGCTGTTTTCCTTGCTGCATCCCCTTTGCCAGGTTGCTGCACTGTGGGATCCACTGCTTGAGGCTTCGTTTGGCTGCTGGCTGAGCTTTCTGCCTTTGGCTCTGTGATGGGATGATGAGCTGCTTGTGCGTAAAATCGTATCCCCTCAGAGTTTGTTCAAGTCCACAAACCTCTGTCTGTGACGGAGCCCCTCAGACATGGCTACTCTAGTCACTAGCAGATTCCGACAGTGGTTGCTTTCGTAATCGCTTCCAACATAAAAGCTCCTTAACGGAAACACGTCTTCTGGAATCTCTGCGTGACAGTTTCCGGCGAGGAGTGGGTGTTCTTACAGGAGGTCCTGAAACTTCCCCACTGTTTTCGCTGGAAGTGTCTCTGAGCCATCCCTCCAGCTCAGCTCCTCTCCCCTGCTGGTTCCCTCTTCAGCTGCTGCGTCTCTCCCAACCTGTGTGAGCCCTTTCACCTCCCTGTTGGTTCCCTCTTCCGCTGCTGCGTCTCTCCCAACCTGTGTGAGCCCTTTCACCTCCCTTCCGTCCGATGGCAGTTCCCTGACATCCACCTCCCCTCCAGGGCCCCCTTCACCCCCTCTCGCCCCCTCCTCTACGGGCGGTGAGGAGGCAAAACCCCGGAATGAACTTCCTTCATCTTCCGATGTCTCGAACACTTCTCTCAACCTGTTGCGGTTCCTGGTCTCGAAGTACACCTCCTCCTCAGAGTCCATCTCCCCTTCCCCTTCCGAGTCCGGGAATCCTTCCAACTCCTCCCCTTCATCAGTGGTCCCAAAGTATTCCCTCCGGAACCTCTCCACAGGCTGAGGTTTCCTTGGGAACCTTTGATGGAACGTTTCTATCAATACCTCGTCATTGATATCTTCAGCCATTACCCAAGTGTTTTCTGACTCCGGTTCTCCTTCCCACGCTACCAAATACTCCACCTGATCCCCCTTCCACCTGGCGTCGAGGATTTCTGCCACATGGCTGCTGCATTCTCTTTCTTCTACGACCGGTCCCCGAGGGGCCAGCCCTTCTCGTCCCCCTTCGTACGGTGACAGTAACGACCTGTGAAATACTGGGTGCAGTTTCATGTGGTTGGGTAACCGGAGCCTGAAAGCCACTGGGTTGACCTGTTGAATGACCTCAAAGGGACCCAACCTCCTGGGTCTTAATTTCTTACAACCTCCTTTGACCGGCAACCCTTGGGTTGACAGCCACACCCTATCTCCCACCCTTATGGTTTCACCTTCCCTTCGGTTCTTGTCTGCCTGCCTCTTGTATTCTTCCTTCGCCCTTTCTAAGTTGAGTTGGAGCTGACGATGGATTGCTTCCATTTCTTCCACAAAATGCTCGGCTGCCGGGACGCTCCATCTCTCCCCCTCTCCCCTGGGAAAGCCCTGGGATGACACCCATAATTAGCCAAGAAGGGCTCATCCCTGTGGACACATTCTCGGCATTGTTGTAGGCAAATTCCGCCAGCGCCAACTTTTCTACCCAGTCATTCTCTCTGTCATTGACATAACACCTCAGGTATTGCTGGAGGACACCGTTTGCTCTTTCCGCCTGCCCGTTGGTTTCAGGGTGCCGGGCAGTCGAAAAATTGACCTCCACCTGCAGTAAGCTCATGAGCTTCCTCCAGAACCTGGAAGTAAATTGTTTTCCTCGGTCTGAGACCACCCTCAATGGCACCCCGTGCAACCTAAAAATGTTTTCTACAAATAACTTCGCTGTCTCTTCCGCCGTGACTGCATGCGAGCAAGCTACAAAGTGGCACATCTTTGTTAGTAGGTCTACCACCACCATGATGGCTGTTTTCCCTTGGACTTCGGCAGATCAGTCATAAAATCTATCGACACTGCCTCCCAAGGTCGTTCTGGGGTTGGTAAGGGTTCTAATAGCCCCGCCGGCGCCCGCCTTTCCCCTTTGGCTCGCTGGCATTGCTCGCACCCTCTTACATACTCACGTACATCTTCCCTCACCTTAGGCCACCAAAATTCCCTGGTGACCAACCACATGGTTTTGTGTTGTCCAAAATGCCCCGCCGTAGGGCTGTCGTGCAACTGCTTGAGTACCCCCCCCCTTAACTCTCCTTCAGGGATATACAGTGCCCCTTTGTAATACAAAGCTCCATTTCTTTCCTCAAAACCCCCTGGTTCCTCTCCATCACCCCTAAGACCTCTGAGCTTATTCTGGGCGTATTCATCATTCTCTGTTTCCTCTACCAGTTCTCTTTGTCCCACCAATGCCGCCCCACACACCCAGCGGTCTTCTGGAATGACATGTCTCTCTTCGGTGCCCTCCCCTCCAAATATTCAGGTTTGCGTGAGAGAGCGTCCGCCCTAATGTTCTCTGGGCCTGGCACGTAACTAATCTCAAAGTTAAATTTGGAGAACTCCTGGGCCCATCTCACTTGCCGTTGGTTGAGCACTCGTGCCGTCCTCCAATACTCTAGGTTCTTGTGGTCAGTGCACACTTGCACCTTATGTTGTGCGCCAATTAGCAGGTGCCTCCATCTCCGGAACGCCTCATGAATGGCTAGTAATTCTCGGTCATACACCGTGTAGTTCCTCTCGGATTTGTTCAGCTTTCGCGAAAAAAAAGGCACACGGTCTCCACTCTGACCCCTTCTTGCCTGGCTGCAGAAGCACCGCCCCAATCGCTCTGTCTGATGCGTCAGTTTCCACTCTCATCGGTTTTTGTAAATCCACATGCAGGAGTTGTTGTTCCGAGGCGAAGGCCCTTTTAGTTCCTCAAATGCTCGCTCCGCCTCCTCAGTCCACACGAACTTCTTCTTACTGCTGAGACAGTCCGTAATGGGCGCCGTCAGGTGGGCAAAGTTTCGGATGAACTTACGATAGAAGTTCCCAAATCCTAGGAACCTCTGCACATCCTTCTTTGTTTTGGGTGTTTTCCATTCCAGCACCGCCTGGACCTTGCCGGGATCCATGGCCAATCCTTTGTCTGACAGGCGATACCCCAGGAATTCCACCTCCTTGGTATGAAACTGACACTTCTCCAGTTTCACCCACAGCTGGTTGGCTTGCAGCCTGCTCAACACTTCTCTGACGTCTCTCACATGCTGCTCCTCATTCTCAGAATACACCAACACGTCGTCTAAAAGGCCACACAATTCTTGTAAAGCAAAGGCCCCAGGACGTGGTTCATAAACGATTGAAATGTTGCGGAGCCTGCTTGTAGGCCGAAGGGCATAACCAAATATTCAAATGCCCCTAACGGGGTGAACATAGTGGTTTTCCATTCATCCCCCTTCCTTATTCGTACCAGGTTGTACGCCCCCCTTAGGTCCAGCTTTGTGAAAATCTTTCCCTTCCGCACCCTTGTCAAAATGTCGTCAATCCTGGGCATAGGGAAGGCTACTGGTTCTGACACTGCATTTAAGGCCCTGAAGTCACACACCAGCCTCGGCTTGTTCGTGTTTTTCTTATCCACAAAAACACTGGGCTGCCCCCACCGCCCTGGACTCTCTGATGAACCCTCTCTTCAGGTTCTTGTCAATGAACTCTCTTAACTCCTGCATCTCTCTGTCTGACATGGCGTACAGCTTGCCTACAGGGAGCTGTGCTCCAGGGAGTAAGTTGATTTGACAGTCAAAGGGTCTATGCGGGGGTAGTTGGTCAGCTTCCCTTTCGCTGAAGACGTCACGGAGATCTGCATATTGTCGTGGTACCTTCACGTTCTCTGTTACTTCAGTCCCTGCTAGGGTGGCTTGGACCCCTGCCAAACCCTTTCCCTCTTTGCAGTGTTCTAAGCAATGTGCTGAACCAAAAGAAACCACTCTCTGATGCCAGCCCACCAGCGGATCATGTAACGCTAGCCAGCTCACCCCCAATATAATGGGAGCTCCTCCCAAGGTGGCCACATTAAAAGCTATCAGTTCGGTGTGCCTTGCTACCTTCATTATCATTGGGACGGTCTGCAAGCTGACTTCTCCACCCAACAGCTCCCTGCCATCGATAGTGGTCACCTGCAGGGGGCTGCTTAAAGGATTGTCTGTATCTGGTGTTCAGCTGCAAACTCTTTGCTCATGAAATTGCAGGAGCTGCCTGAGTCCAACAGCGCCTTTATCTTTAGAGGGTGTCCGTTTGGCAGCTCTAGCGTCACTTCTATCACTAGGGCGGGTTTAGGAGGTTCTGGCGTGGGCACTCTCACTGCTCTTTGGCCTGGCTGCTGTGCCCTGACAGTGGCAGCCAGGCGTTGGCTTTACTTGCTCCGGTATATTTTCCTCTCTTCCATCCACAGCTCCTACCATCCCTTGCCATTCTTTCCTCTGGGGGCAGACTCTGGCAAAGTGACCTGGCTGTTGGCAGAGATAGCATTTCCGGGCGCCTTTTCCCTCCTTCTTTGCCCCCTCACTGGGCTTTGAAACTGCGCGCGCGCGCTGTTCCGATTTCCATCGGCTCTGCCGGTGGGAAAGTTGGCTCTGGAATGTTTGGAATGCGGAACTCCTTCCAACGTTCCCCTTTCCCTTCCCGCCTCTCCAATGCTCTCGCCTCCTGGCGCGCTCCTATGGCCAGCGCTGATTTGGTCAGCTGGTCCATAGACTCCGCCCTGGGCGCCCGGGAAAGTTCGTCTTTCACAGCCGAAGAAAGCCCTTCTTCAAAGAGCATCTGAATGGGTTCCGCCGATAAGTCCCACCCCAATCTGTGAACAAGCATGGTGAACTCAGTCCAGTACTCACGGACAGATCGGCTCCCCTGTTTGCAACCCATTAACTGTCTGCTCACCACTCCCTTTTCAATATCGCTGGAAAACATCAGATCCATGGCGCGAAAGAACTTCATCGTGTCCTTTAAGACGTCACTATTAGCTGCCATCAGGGGTCTAACCCAGTCTCTCGCCCCCTTTTCAAGATGCTCAATCACGAAAGCCACTCGTGATTCCTCGTCAGGGAATTCATCAAACTGCAGATTGAGGGCATATTGCATTTCTGTCCGAAAACCATGATAGGTTTTGGGCTCCCCCAAACTTCTGCACCAATCCTGGTACCTTTCTGGCAAACTGGGTGGCTTTCCCCCTTTGTCTGCATCCTGAGCCCTCCTCTCCTCAAGCCTCGCCGTCTGCATCGCTAGCTGGACCTCCAACATCTGGTACCTTTCTTCCAGGCTTGGACCCGCTCCAGCTCCTGCTTCTCCGGTTCCGGCTGGGTTGCTCATGATGCCTTCTCCTGCACAAGCTGCTTTCAAAGACTGTCGGAATGCTGTGATGGGATGATGAGCTGCTTGTGCGTAAAATCGTATCCCCTCAGAGTTTGTTCAAGTCCACAAACCTCTGTCTGTGACGGAGCCCCTCAGACATGGCTACTCTAGTCACTAGCAGATTCCGACAGTGGTTGCTTTCGTAATCGCTTCCAACATAAAAGCTCCTTAACGGAAACACGTCTTCTGGAATCTCTGCGTGACAGTTTCCGGCGAGGAGTGGGTGTTCTTACAGGAGGTCCTGAAACTTCCCCACTGTTTTCGCTGGAAGTGTCTCTGAGCCATCCCTCCAGCTCAGCTCCTCTCCCCCTGCTGGTTCCCTCTTCAGCTGCTGCGTCTCTCCCAACCTGTGTGAGCCCTTTCACCTCCCTGTTGGTTCCCTCTTCCGCTGCTGCGTCTCTCCCAACCTGTGTGAGCCCTTTCACCTCCCTTCCGTCCGATGGCAGTTCCCTGACAGGCTCGGAGGGGCTCAGAAGTTGAACATACCTGTGCTGGGAAAATCCCTTATTTTGGCTGCTGATCCCTTATTTTTGAGGCTGCTGGTCCCTTATTTTCAAATCTGTAAGTTGACAGCTATGGCCCATCTTCAGTTTTTCTTTAACGTCAGAGACGTCCCTTTCCCAGAGAATTGTTCTCTGCCTTCCACTGGTGTCGTTAGGGGAAACCAAAATCTGTCAGCCTGTGCAGTTTGCATCATGGTTTTGTTCCCACTGAGAATGACGCTTGAGAGTGGTCTTCGCCGAGTTAATAAACTTGCAACTCTGCTATGCCGCTTAATAAATACTTGCATGACCAGATGCACGTCCTCTATATTAAAAGAAGTTCTTTGCACTTAGAAAAATAGCATTTCAGGGATGAGGTGAGGATGAAATGCTGCTTTTATGCTCTCTGTCTCGCCCTCCTAGTAGGGATATTCGATCCCTTTCTGACAGCTGAACTCATCTGTATGTTTTGGCAAGAACTTCCGATCATGAAATGGGACACCAGTGTATCACACGCTCTGCCTGGTGGAGTCATACAAGCTACTTTGGGGCTTGTTTACATTATCAGTTATGCTGCAATAACTGAGTTATGCCCACTTCTGATGGTGTTTACAAGACCAAAGGTTACTCAGAGACTGAAAACGGTTGAGAGCATGTATGTGTGTGTGAGAGAGAGAATGAGAGAGAGATAATATGAATGACTGCAGTGCCATTGCACAGAAAAGCAAACAGTGCCTTGGCTTTCATTGACAACCGTGTTAAGACAGGTGTAACATCTCTCTAGATCTGTTAAGGCTAGTTTTGTAGTGCCCTCGCCAGATCTACTCCAAGTGAAACTTCTTCCGGGCACAAACTCGGAAACAAACAAACAAACAAAAAAGCTGCTCTGTAGCTTTTGGGAGTGTTTCAGATTTGACCTGGAGAAATGCTGGCTGACAACCATGGCGATTGGCTAGCATCTGGGACATCATCAACACAGCACTTTCTTCCCCACCAGCCCCCAATTCTCAAAGCAGTTTTGCAAATAACTGCAATGTGTATATATAATGTTTTGCTATCATTTGCAGCAAGCTCCTGCTGGGCTGAAGCTTGCAAGCTGTGTACATAATCTCTGTATAATTATTATTATACTATATGTATAAAAAGGTAAAGGACACTGGACAGTTCAGTCAAAGGCTGAGGGAGCTGGCATTTGTCCACAGACAGCGTTTCAGATCATGTGGCCAGCATGACTTAACTGTTACTGGCGCAACAGAACACCGTGGCGGAAATGCCGTCACAGTGGTATCTATTTATTTACTTGCACTGGCATGCTTTCGAAGTGCTAGATTGGCAGGAGCTGGGACAGAGCAACGGGAGCCAGATGGATGGGGTAGAAATAATAAAATTATTATTATTATTATTATTATTATTATTATTACTTCGTCAGGATTCAAACGGGTAAGCCCAAAAGGCTCAGTGGTTTAGACCACAGCGCCACCCGTGTCTTATTATTATATATCCACCTGAGGAGTCAAGCCCTCCTTCTGCCACCTGAAGGTGGGGTGTGGATTAGGTAAACCTGGAAACAAGGTAAAATCTGGAGGTCTGGCAGCCCCAGCTCCCATGGAGGAGGTGGAACCTCTTAACTCCATAATTCTGGTGCTCAAAAGCTTGCATTGGCTGCCCAAATTGTACCAGATGAGATTCAAGGTTGTTTACAATGAAGAAGCCAAGTTACAGGGAACCAAGCAGAGGGCCTTCTCGGTAGTGGCACCCGCCCTGTGGAACGCCCTTCCACCAGATGTCAAACAAAAGAACAACTACCAGACTTTTAGAAGACATCTGATGCATTACTGTATTTTAATATTTTGTTGGACGCTGCCCAGAGTGGCTGGGGAAGCCCAGCCAGATGGATGGGGTATAAATAAATAAACTATTATTATTATTATTATTATTATTATTATTATTATTATTATTATTACAAGGCCCCTTAACAACGAGTCCAGGATACCTCAAGGACCACCTAATCCCTTACTTCCCTGTCTGATCACTGGGGTCTTCAGAGGAGTCACTGCTGGTGGTTCCCCCATGTACGGTTCATATCCATTGGGACTGTGGGCCCAACTTCATGGCACTCCCGGTTGAACTTCCACTGCCTGCTGGGAGCTTATTTCAGCAGGCACTTTTGCCGAAGTTTGACATTCATATTTTCAACCCTTTTCCTATATTTCTTGTACACAGCTAAGGGATGATTGTAGTTAAGTGGCATGTACGGTAAATTCTTCAAACAAACAGCATAAAATAAAACAGAAACAGCAGGGCATGATGCAGGAATATAGAAATAAAAAGAAAGGATTCCTCGATCCTATGGGGTTTCAAAAGAAATACAAGGTTCCACCCTGGTGTTCATTAAACATTTTTATTCTGACCTTGGAGCAGAAAAGCAACAACCATGTTGATGGGTAGTAGATCACAATCTTTATTATGATTCTGAGCAGCTGGCTGGTAGTCTGTGAGCAGGGAACCCATTACTGATGCCAAGGGCTTACTTACATTTTAATTGATGTGAAACATTTTTAATGACAAAGTAGTAGTAGTAGTAGTAGTAGTAGTAGTAATTTTTATACCCCACCCATCTGGCTAGGTTTCCCCAGCCACTCTGGGCGGCTCCCAACAGAATATTAAAAACACGGTAAAACATTAGTCTTAAAAACTTCCCTAAACAGGGCTGCCTTCAGATGTCTTCTACAAGTCAGGTGGTTGTTTATCTTCTTAACATCCAATGGGAGGCATTCCACACGACGGGTGCCACCACCGAAAAGGCCCTCTGCCTGCTTCCCTGTAACCTCACTTCTCGCAGCAAGGGAACCGCCAGAAGGCCCTCGGAGTTGGACCTCAGTGAATGATGGAGGTGGAGACGCTCCTTCAGGTATACTGGGCCAGGGCTGTTTAGGGCTTTCAAGGTCAGCACCAACACTTTGAATTGTGCTCGGAAATGTACTGGGAGCCAATGTAGGTCTTTTAGAACCGGTGTTATGTGGTCTCGGCGGCCACTGCCAATCAAACTATTGGGTGGTTGCTTTTCACACCAGTGTGTCAAAGCGAGAGCACTGTTGCCTTCCACTTCTGCTTCCGGGCTTCCCATAGACATCTGGCTGGCCCCTGTGAGACTGGGGTGCTGGACCTAAAGCCCACCCATGAGGCAAGGTGGGGTTCTCCCACCAATGAGTACTTGCCCCAAACTTGAGTCTTGGTGTCTAGATTTCCAACCCCTTAGATAGTCCTCGATGCTGCAGTACAGTGGCACCTCAGGTTACATACGCTTCAGGTTACATACGCTTCAGGTTACAGACTCCACTAACCCAGAAATAGTGCTTCAGGTTAAGAACTTTGCTTCAGGATCAGAACAAAAATCATGCTCCAGTGGCGCGGCAGCAGCAGGAGGCCCCATTAGCCAAAGTGGTGCTTCAGGTTAAGAACAGTTTCAGGTTAAGAACGGACCTCCGGAACGAATTAAGTACTTAACCTGAGGTACCACTGTATATAGCTTCACTTTTACAAGTGCTCTGTTGGGTACCAACTTTTTCTAGCCTAACCAGACCATCCAGGTATCCCTGTTTCTCAGGGACAGTCCCAGATTTTCAGAAGCCATCCTGGTTTCTGATTTGATCCTGGAATGTCCCACTTTTCCTTAGGACATCCCTATTTTCATCAAAGAAATGTTGGCGGGTGTGGAGTTATTCAACCCCCGAGCCATCTGAAGGCAGCCCTGTTTAGGGAAGTTTTTGAATGTTTAATGTTTTTATATATGTTAGAAGCCGCCCAGAGTGGCTTCGGCAACTCAGATGGGCAGAGTAGAAATAATAAAGAAGTTGTTGTTGTTGTTGTTGTGGACTAAGACATCCCTATTTCCATCAGAGAAATGTTGGAGGGGACGGAGTTATGCAACCCCCGAGCCGAGGAGATAAGTAACTATACAACCTTTAGAAGACATTTGAAGGCATCCCTGTATAGGAAAGTTTTTAAATGTTTAGTGTGAAATAAAAAAATTAAAGTCTTATATATAATAATAAATGTTCATGGATTTGCCAGGCAAACACGTACATAAATGTATGGGCCACATGTCTGAAGCAGCACAGGAAAACAGCCCTGAAACCATTTTGACTCCCAAACTGACCAAATGTTTTCTCTGCAGGGTCAAAGGAAAATGGAAAAGCCTCCCCATTGTCTTTTCATTCACAAAACCTGTCTTAAGGGTATATCTGTGTATGAATAGGGTGAGCTTGTGACCTGGCTCAGGAACTAAATATTTGTCACTACAAAAGACTGGCCAGGCTCCCCAGGGTATCCAATCAAGTAAGCATTAACAGGTAACCTGCCAGACAGGAGATAAACAACACACTCATATTTCTGCTGTAGACCGCCCCTTCAGTGATGTAGGTATGATGTATCTGGGGGTGGTCTTGGGCTACACCCCTTTCTGTGATGTAGGTATGATGTTTCTGGGGGTGGTCTTGGACTCCAAGGCGGGCAATTTAAAATGTCTATATAAGGGCAGACACTCCTTGGTTCTGAGTCCTCCTCCTCCTTTCCTGCATGAGAGGGGAGCACCCTGTTGCAACAGTTCAATAAAGATCAGGCTTATGAGCTGCTTTGCTTCTCAATATTCTCTGGTTTCTCCAACCGATGGAGAACCTGCAAAGGACTCTGTAAGGGCTCTTGTGTCCCCCATAAGGGAATCAAGGCAGATTTTCATTTATTACAGAGTTTTATTATGTTTTTATATATGTTGGAAGCTGCCCAGAGTAGCTGGGGCAACCCAGTCAGAGGGGCGGGGTATAAACAACAACAACAACGATAGAATGGGACGTCCCTATTTTCATCAGAGAAATGTTGGAGGGTGTGGAGCTATGCAACCCCTGAGCCAAGGAGATAACTATACAACCTTTCGAAGACATCTGAAGGCAGCAGTGTATAGGGAAGGCTTAAAAAAAAAAGTTCAATGTTTTATTATGTTTTTATATGTGTTGGAAGCAGCCCAGAGTGGCTGAGGCAATCCAGTCAGATGGGTGGAATATTATTATTATTATTATTATTATTATTACAGTCATACCTCAGGTTACAGACACTTCAGGTTGCGTTTTTTTGGGTTGCGGACCGCCGAAACCCAAAAGTACCGGAACGGGTTACTTCCGAGTTTCAGCGGTCGTGCATGCGCAGAATAGCTAAATCGCACTTTGCACAGACGCGCTGAATCGCTACCTGTGCATGCGCTGCTGCGCCGCTGCGGGTTGCGAACGTGCATCCCACACAGATCATGTTCGCAGCCCGAGCGTCCACTGTATTATTATTAAATAGGGTGCCCTTCTTTTCCTCAGTGAAATGTCGGAGGGTGTGCCACAGATGCCTGGAAGAGAGATTGGCATGTTCTGCCTCGGCAGTTCAGAGTAGCAGGAACATCTTGGCAACCACGTAACAGGGAGCAGCAAAGGAAAAGAATGCCTGGTGCGCAGAAACCAGAAAGAAAAACCCACGTCCCCATGATATTTCAAAACAAAAATAGGGTCCTCCCCAGCGTCTAGAAGATGTGGGGAGCAAGACGAGTTGTGATGTGGGAGGTCACAGCTAAGGATTTTAGGGGAGGGGGGAACTGTGGATGTTTTTCTTTCCAGCAGGCTGTCAACAATGAAGTCAAATAAAGCTCTGTTTACATGCAACGGGCAGGGATTATCCTTCTCATTCCTAAGGTGACGCAGCAACAGCTGAGCGCAGGGCTGTTTCAGCTTCCATCTATCCAGGACTTGATAAAGGGGGAAATAATGACCGGCTCCCTGCTGGGTGACTTAAGTGCTCAGTCACTTTTTGAAGCGGTTCCAAGGCTAACATAGCATCCTGCCCCATTCTGGGATACCGTTGCTGGTTTACCTCCCTGGAACACCCATGAAACCACCAGCGAGCTGTTGCATTCTTCTTACTTATCGAAGGAGAAGCCACCGCCATTCCCTCCAGGTGTGTTGGACTACGGTGTCTGCAGAGGCACACACGACAGGCACGGATCCTGAGTTGCAGTGGCGGGCAGGTTGGTCTAGTGGGCAGGTGGATGGAGGCAGCGGGTGAGGAGCCTGTTGGAGGTGGGCTCCGTTCACCCTCCGTGCGGGCCCCCTGGTGCAAAACCCCACCCCAGCTGCCCAGTCCATCTGGAGGACACAAAAACTTGCCCTGCCCCGGGCACCGGCAACCCAAGCTACGCCACTGAGCATCCTTTAGTTATGTATTCCATTGTTAGCCTGCCTTTACTCCAAGGAGTTCAAGGTGGTGTGTGTGGCTTCTCGCCTCCTTCCCATTTTATCCTCACAACAACCCTGTGAGGTTGATCTAGGAGGCAGGGACTGGCCCAAGATCACAGGTGAGTTTCTTTTCTTTTCTTTAAAATAGGTTTTTTTAATTTCTGATATATAACCATTACACACACACACACAAAAAGAGTTACAGAAACAAAATCTCAACTCGCTCTCCTCCAAGATGGATCCATCCAATTAAGTCCAATCTGTGATTTTGGTAGCTGCCATTCTTCAGGGTTATAAGCAAAGTGTTTTTTTCCCTTAAGGATGCCATATCTCAACAAAATCGTCTACATCATTTGTCTCATTCAATGCATGTAATCTCTTTGTTAATTGTTCTGACGCAGCAATAGACCATACATTCTGTTTCCAACGAGAGATACGCAGATGTTCCAATCCTTTCTGATTCTGTGCCACTGGTAGGCGTGCCGCTGCTAAAAGAAAATGAATTATCTCTTTATAACAAAGGTCAGGTTGCCCTTCTTTAAAACTAGTTAACAATCCCAAATGGGGTACATTCCACAGGCTGGCCTGCAACATAGGTTATTTCTGCAAATACCATCTGCCAGAAGGACTTTAGAGGTTCACACAACCTGGTGAGTTTTGTGTTTGACTGGGGATTTGAACCCTGAACACCCCAGTCCCTAGTCTAGGCATCATCCTGTGTCCATTCCTTCAGCTCTGCAGTCCCAGGGTAAGAGCTGGTTTCAGGTGATGTGGGTGTGCTCATCACTCGCAAAAGCTCACCTGTTGTGATGCTCAAAGTGTGAGCGCGGAAATCAGACAAACGACTTGCTAAGTCTGTTTCATGGTTTCTATCCACCTGAGGACCCACTGCTGCAAACCCTGTGGCCTGTCTTTGTTTTATTACCCAACAGTTTGCAATTCAGAGACTAGTTTTGCCGCTGCAGGCAATGTTTCCTTCCTTGCAATCTGTGGGCGCACCTGGGTTATCCATGACCGCAAAACAAATGTGTTTATACCTGCGTGTGTATGCGTGTGTTGCGAGTCTAATATCTCATCTTAAAATAGCAGCGATTAAAGCGGAGAGGAGTAGGAGGCAAGCTGCGACGTCTCTCTGCTGGGGAAAAGGCAGAGGAGTTGCGAAGTCTCTGGGCTTCTGAAAGACAAAAATTGTCACTACCAGCAAAAGGTTTCAACGTCTCCGTCTCTGCTCAGCACGGAGTCCAGTTTAGCTTCTTCTAAGACACGGTGGCCAAAACAAACAAACAAACATTATAATATCAATGCCAGATAATACACACATTATGACAGTCCGTAATTAAGTCAGAGCATTCTAACCCTTTGGATTTTGTTTTTAAAAAGGCAGTGAGGGATGCCATTTTGTAAAAGGGAAAAGTGCAGCTAAAGCTAGAAGATTGGCAATGGGAAAGACTTCAACACAGGAAGGCTTTTAAAGTGAGAATGGCAGGTGGAAACTTAGAAGAGGATCCAGGAAAGAAGAAAATGGAGCAAGGGAAAGGAGGAAAGATATTTAACTGCTGTGCGTGTGAAAAAGGTAACAAAAAAGAGGGAGGGGCAAAACAGCTGAAATAAAAAATTTAAGGTCATATATATACCGTATTTTTTGCACCATAACACTCACTTTTTTCCTCCTAGAAAGTAAGGGGAAATGTCTGTGCGTGTTATGGAGGAAATGCCTACGGGTGGCATGCCTACGGATTTTCCTCCTCTAAAAACTACGTGCGTGTTATGGTCGGGTGCGTATTATAGAGCGAAAAATACGGTATATAGGGACGCGGGTGGGGTTGTGGGTTAAACCACAGAGACTAGGACTTGCCGATCAGAAGGTTGGCAGTTTTAATCCACGCAACGGGGTGAGCTCCCGTTGCTCGGTCCCTGCTCCTGCCAACCTAGCAGTTCGAAAGCACGTCAAAGTGCAAGTAGATAAATAGGTACCACTCCAGCGGGAAGGTAAACATTGTTTCTGTGCGCTGCTCTGGTTCGCCAGAAGCGGCTTAGTCATGCTGGCCACATGACCCAGAAGCTGTACGCCGGCTCCCTCGGCCAGGATATGTGGACCACATGTCTGGAGCAGCACAGGAAGACCACCCTGAAACCATTTTGACTCCCAAACTGACCAAATGTTTTCTCTGCAAGGAGGGAGGGGGTGAGGGAGCTTTTCCATTGTCTCAGGAATTGGGAAATCACCATCTCAAAGGAATGGCCAGACTACCAGGAAAGGCAATCAGATAAGGCATTATCAGATAACCTGGCAGACAGGAAGAACAACAACATTCAAATTTCTGTTGTAGACCACCTTTTCTGTGATGTAGGTATGGTGTGTCTGGGGGGTGGTCTTGCGCTACACCCCTTCTGTGATGTAGGTATGATGTTTCTGGGAGTGGTCTAGGACTCCAGGGCGGGCAATTTAAAATGTCTATATAAGGGCGAGCACACCCGGGTTCTGGGTCCTCCTCCTTTCCTGTGTGTGAGGGGAGCACCCTGTTGCAACAGATCAATAAAGATCAGGCTTACGAGCTGCTTTGCTTCTCAATATTCTCTGGTTGGCCTCTGTTATTTTCTCTGACCGATGGAGAACCTACAAAGGACTCTATAAGGGCACTTGTGTCCCCCATAAGGGAATGGGGGCAGATTTTGTTTATTACACAGCTAATTCTAATTTCATGTTAGCTCAGGCTGTCTTAGAATCATACAACTGCACAGCAAGAAGGGATCCTGAGGTAAAACTCGTCCAGCCCTCTGCAATGCTGGAATCATACCTAAAGAATCCCTGACAGATGGCCATCCAAACTCCGTTTCAAAAGCTCCCATGAAGGAGCGGCCACCACTTCTGAGGGAGACCGTTCCACCATCAAATGGCTCTTACTTTCAGAAAGTTCTTAATAGTTTGTCAGGCATCTCCTTTCTTGTCAATTTGAATCTGTTGGTTCAGATCCTCCAGAGCAGGAGAAAGCAAGCTTGCTCCATCTTCCATCTGAAAGCCCTTGAGATGTTTGAAGATGGCTACCCTATCCCTTGCCCATATTTTATCAGTGTGGAGTTTTTATTTTAAGACTGAGAGTTCTCCTCTTCTCCAGGCTAAACATCTTCAGCTCTCTCAACCGTTCCTCATAAGTCTTGGTTTCCAGACCCTTGATCATCTGAGTCACCTTCCTCTCCACAGCTTCCAACCTGTCAATATCCATCGTATACTTGTTGACCAAACATTTTGCAGCCATTTTGTGGTGGCTTTTTGTGAGCTGTACAGATAAGCTCTTTGAGTCTTCTCTGAGGAATGCAAAGTTTCCGTGAAGCCTCTTTATTTATAACATGGCACTAGAAGAAGAGGGACCTGTGTGGCGCTGTGGTCTAAACCACTGAGCCTAGGTCTTGCCGATCGGAAGGTCAGTGGTTCAAATCCCCGCAACAGGGTGAGCTCCCGTTGTTCGGTCCCTGCTCTTGTCAACCTAGCAGTTTGAAAGCACATCAAAGCGCAAGTAGATAAATAGGTACTGCTCTGGCGGGAAGGTAAACGGCGTTTCCATGCACTGCTCTGGTTTTGCCAGAAGCGACTTAGTCATGCTGGCCACATGACCCGAAAAAACTGTCTGCGCACAAACGCTGGCTCCCTCGGCCTGTAAAGTGAGATGAGCGTCACAACCCCAGAGTCGTCCACAACTGGACTTAACGGTCAGGGGTCCTTTACTGAAATATACTCAGAGTCGAGAGTGGATTTCATGCTCTTTATTCAGCTCATAGTGGTGAGGAGGAATGGAAGTTCCCCCAGAATGTCTGCTTTATATACATTATTTACACAATGGCCCCCACATGATTGGCTAATTCCGGGATTCTCCTGTAGGCCAATCAGGTTGCGGATTCCCTTCCACCTGGAGCTGGATTGGGTGGCTCCTGTGGACCAATCAGACTGCTGCATTCTGGATCCTATTGTTCTAGGATCAATCAGACTGCTGCATTTTGGATCCTATTCAACTTAGTACATAACATTTACCTTTTCTTTTTTACTAGAAGAAGAAGAAGCCTTCTTGAGCAGCTGGCTTTAAAATTGTGGTATTTGGCATACGAAGCCAGGGAGAGGCATTCCAGGAGTCGGCTCAAGTTGGTGAAGTGGAAAAGAACAAGGGCATTAAAAGCAAAACAACTGCTCAGCAAGAGAAAGGAAGAAGAACAAGCCTGAGCTTGGGAAACCTCTGAACTTTCTGGGGGAAGCACAGAGGGGGAAACAAGAGAAGAATCTCCATGTGTAACCAGTGTGGTTTAATGGCTGGCATGTCAGACTAGGACCTTAGAACCCTAGAATCCTAGACTTGAAGGGACCCTGAGGATCAGCTAGTCCAACCCCTGCAATTCAAGAACATGCAGCTGTCTCTTACGGGGATCAAACCCGCAACCTTGGCATTACGAGCACCATGCTCTATCCAGCTGCTGAGTTGAAACAAAGCCATCTGTGTTAGTCCCCGTCTGAAATACACAGTGGTACGATCCTAGCATCCCTGGGGTGAAGATGGGGCTGTTCACAATTCCTAGCTTGGTATAACAGTCAATCCCTCTTCCCAGAGAACTCTGGGAATTGTGGCTCTGGGATGGGAATAGGGGTCTCCTAGGAACTCTCAGCACCCTTAACAAACTACAGCTCCCAGAATTCTTTGGGGGAAACCAAAAGTGGTGTCATTCTGCTTTAGACATAGAGCGCAGAGGGAGGGCCTAATTTCTCTCACCCCACCATCTGGGCAACAGTCTGCCTGGTTAATTCCATTTTCTTTTATCGGGAGGTTTATGTACGAATTACCCCGCTCTTGTTTCATGACATTTCTCTTCTCCCCTCGTTTTAAGAGCTCCGTCACTTGCCTTCATGTGAGAATGAGGTAATGCTACAAAGCTTCCGCTCTTCCAGTAAGGAGCGAAAACTTAACACCTTGGTAAATCTTCTGCCGAGCAGCGATGACAAAACCAGTCCTTAAGGGACATGGCAGGAAAGCAAGGAGTTTGCAGCGTGTCACACGACGGGCTTGACCAACCTAGTCCTCACCCAGAGCTACAATTCCCAGAGTTCCATGGGAAAAGGAATGGGTTGTCGAACCACTTTGGGAACTGTAGTTCTCTGAGGGGAACAGCATCCTGAACAAACTGCTGCTCCTGGGATTCTTGAGAGGAAGAGCCACGGCTGCTTAAGGTGTTATAATAGTGCATTCAAAGCATTGTACAGTGGTACCTTGGGTTAAGTACTTAATTCGTTCCAGAGGTCCGTTCTTAATCTGAAACGGTTCTTAACCTGAAGCACCACTTTAACTAATGGGGCCTCCCGCTGCTGCTGTGCCGCCGGAGCACGATTTCTGTTCTCATCCTGAAGCAAAGTTGTTAACCCAAGGTACTATTTCTGGGTTAGCGGAGTCTGTAACTTGAAGCGTCTGTAACCTGAAGCATATGTAACCCGAGGTACCACTGTATGCCCTTGGCTTCAGTTGACACAGAAACTGGTGTTCTGTCCAGCAACTGGAAGGCTGACACTCTGGCCACACACAAACCACAAATGCAGGAGATAGGACCAGCACACCCATGAGGCGAGGCAAGGTGACTGCCTGTCCACCTGGACCAGCAGATCCCAATGTTACTCTTTCTCCCTGCCTTCATCCCTTCACCCCGTGTTGGTTTTCCCTAACACGTTTTTCCTCTGGTGTGGAAGGGGGCCACCATTTTGGGGTCCGCCTCAGGCAGGGACAGATGTACTGCGAAACTGTTCAAGCTTCAGAGCCCCTAATCCCAGAGCAAATTTAGTCCACGTTGCTTAATTTTTTGGGGGTCTAGTAGACCCAATTTCAGTGGAACAACTCAAAAGGATTATTTTTGCCGTCTATATTTCAACAAGGGACGCAGGTGGCGCTGTGGGTTAAACCACAGAGCCTAGGACTTGCCAATCAGAAGGTCGGCAGTTCAAATCCCCGCAATGGGGTGAGCTCCCGTTGCTCAATCCCTGCTCCTGCCCACCTAGCAGTTCAAAAGCACATCAAAGTGCAGGTAGATAAATAGGTACCGCTCCGGCGGGAAGGTAAATGGCATTTCCGTGCACTCCTCTGGTTTGCCAGAAGCGGCTTAGTCATGCTGGCCACATGACCCAGAAGCTGTACGCCGGCTCCCTCAGCCAGTAAAGCGAGATGAGTGCCGCAACCCCAGAGTCGGTCACGACTGGACCTAACGGTCAGGGGTCCCTTTACCTTTACTTTATATTTCAACAGTCCCAAAGTTTTGAGAGTTGGTAGAGCAGATGTTGCAAAGGCGTGTTGAGCTGTTATGGAACAACCCCATCGAAGAAGATGACAGGGGTCACCCAGCCCTCATGGCTGGTTGCGAAAGAAGAAGAGTTTGGATTTGATATCCCACCTTTCACTCTGAGGGCCTTCTGGCGGTTCCCTCGCTGCGAGAAGCCAAGTTACAGGGAACCAGGCAGAGGGCCTTCTCGGTAGTGGCACCTGCCCTGTGGAATGCCCTCCCATCAGATATCAAAGAGAAGAACAACTACCAATCTTTTAAAAGACATCTGAAGGCAGCCCTGTTTAGGGAAGCTTTTAATGTTTACTAGACTATTGTATTTTCTAGACTATTGTATTTATTCTGTTGGAAGCCGCCCAGAGTGGCTGGGGAAACCCAGCCAGATGGGTGGGGTATAAATAATAAATTATCATTATTACTGTTATTATTCGAGCTTCAGGGCCCCCCAAATGTAGGTCCGCCACTGGCCTCAGGTGCCAACATGTCTTGGGACAGCCCTGCCTGGTGATAAAGGAGAAATCCCCCTCATGGATGAAGGCCTGTAGAAACAGTTGATATCATGGCTTTTGGGGTACAGCCTAGCCCTTTTCACCCTGGCGTTCTAGAGGGTTGGGGGTGGCTCCTCCTGTGATACAGGGGTTCTTCAGCGAGTTTCAGGGAGATCCTCAGCATTCGATTTAAGATGGGCACCTGTCTATTCCTCAGGATCCTCAGTCTGTTCCTCCTCTGCAGGCTGCGCATGACAGGCGACCTCGAAAACCCAGAGATTCCTTGAGATGCTTCTGTTTTTTCCAGCACTGCTCCCCTGAAAAACCTTTTAGCTTGCCGAGATTCGGAGGGGGACGATGACAACAACAATTTAGCAGAAAGAGAGCAGAGGGAGGCAGTTCAGGTTTTCGTGGAAGTGCCTCTCATTTTGGCAAGCAAGCTGCTTATGTGGAAAGGTTGTTCAAGTGATTGGACCGGAGGAACCTTCTGTTCTTCGCGTTCTGCAGCGAGGACAGCGTGATATTTTGGAGAGCGAGAAACAACGTTGACAGTCCGTCCGTCGTCCCCGGCTTGTATCTCGATTTAACCAGAGACAAGGAACAGCCTCATTACTGGATGACCCTGGGATGTGATCTGAGAGTGAAGCAGTGTCAAGGTGAGGTGTGTGTGTGGGGGAACCCCACTGTGCAAGGTGCTAGGGGTCTCAAAAGGGAGACTCTTGAGCAGTGGGACGCAGACCGTCCTCTCTTGGTACTGTCATGGCAGATTGGAAGAGCAGGTAGACGCTGTGATGGCCTGGGACTCAGGCTCGGACTCGGAACAGAGGAGTCTCAGTCTGCACCAGATCCTTTGCCTCAGGCATCATTTGAACCAAGTCTGGGGCCTGATCCTGAAGAGTCCCAGTCTGCACAGGTTCCCCTGCAACAAATACCAGCTGGGCCAAGTCAGGGGCCTGAGCCTGCCCTGTCCAGATGCGGGGATTACCTTGTTGCCTTCAGCTGGGCCATCACTTACAGCTGCTCCACTACCAGTTGGGTCAGGAGAGGCTGAGACGGCCTCTGGGTCTAGTAACCCACCGACATCTCCCGAGCTGCAGAGACTGAGGTCTGAGAGAAGGAGAGACTTGAGCACTCGCAGAAGGTGTGCTCGCCTTCGGGCAAAACAGGGAGGTGAGTCGCCGGGGGATCAGGACCGGCTGCTGCCCTGACAAAGATAAAAGGCTGTCGGACCCCGCCCCAGGTTGCGGGAGCAACATTGCTGTATGCCAGATCCTGTCTGAGACCCTGTACCTGTCCTTGCCTGGTTTCCTGCCTTGGCCCTGTCGGACTGACTCCTAGCAGAACATTCAGATTCTGGACTGGTCCTGGACCGCGTTTCACGGGTTACCCCCAGGCCCAGCACAGGCGCTCCTGGTTTGGTCTCTGCTGAGCTGTAGCGCCACCACAGCAGGTGGACAGAAGGTAAAATTGCAACTACCTGTTTTTCAGGACCAACCTGCTAGATCAGACCCATGGCCCATCTAGTCCAACATCCTGTTCTCACAGTGTGAGAAACCCACAAGCCGGATTCGAACACAAGAGCCCTCTCCCCCCCTGCGGTTTTCGGAAACCGGTACTTAGAAGCATTACTGCCTCCAACTGTGAAGGCCGCGCACAGCCATCATGGCTAGTAAAGGTAAAGGGACCCCTGACCATTAGGTCCAGTCGCAAACGACTCTGGGGTTGCGGCACTCATCTCGCTTTATTGGCCGAGGGAGCCGGCGTACAGCTTCTGGGTCATGTGGCCAGCAGGACTAAGCCGCTTCTGGGGAACCAGAGCAGTGCATGGAAACGCCGTTTACCTTCCCGCTGGAGTGGTACCTATTTATCTACTTGCACTGGCGTGCTTTCGAACTGCTAGGTGGGCAGGAGCAGGGACCGAGCAACGGGAGCTCACCCCATTGTGGGGATTCGAACTGCTGACCTTCTGATTGGCAAGTCCTAGGCTCTGTGGTTTAACCCACAGCGCCACCTGCGTCCCTTGCCATCATGGCTAGTAGCCATCAATAGCCCTCTCTTCCTCCCTGAATTTGACTAATCTTCTGTTAAAGCCATCCAGCTTGGTGCCTTCACTGCCTCCTGTGGCAGAGAGTTCCATAGTTTAACCATGCACTGCAGATCTGTCCTGAACCTTCCCACATTCAGCTTCTTTGGGAACCCTCAGGTGTGATGAGTGAGGGGGGAAAGTTCCACTTCCTCGAGGAAATGCATAATCTGCCGTGCTTTCATTTTTCACGCAAATATCGAAGCAGATGGACACTCAGGGCCAATCAGTATATGCAAACGTCTGGCTCATTTATATAGAACCTTTACCTTCGATAATAATGGAGCTCAAAGGTGGAGAATACTTTTACAGTATGTTTTATAAATCTTCATTACAGTGGTGCCCCGCAAGACGAATGCCTCGCAAGACGGAAAAACCGCTAGACGAAAGGGTTTTCCGTTTTGAAGTTGCTTCGCAGGACGAATTCCCCTATGGGCTTGCTTCGCAAGACGAAAATACCTTGCGAGTCTTGAGATTTTGTTCCGCTTCCCCCCCTTTATCGAATCTGCTCAGCCTTTAATAGCCTTTAATAGCCTTTTAGCAGCTAATCCCTAAGCCTTTAAGCCTTTAATAGCCGCTAAACCGCTAATAGCGCTAAT